AAAAATGATTAAATGGTATTTAGAAAGAAAAGATTGGATTAATTAATGGGAAATAGTAGTTTGAAGTGGTGAATCAAGTACTTAATATTCTGAATGATTCCCGGCAATGTGAATTGGCGCCAACCACATGAAAAATATGATGTTGAATGTCTTCTCCCTACTATGAAATTGGTAAACAGGGAGTAATGATATGGGGATATTTTACTCAAAATGCATTTGGACCTTTAATCGAAGTTGAGGATGGAATTACTGGTATAAAGTATATAGAAATAATGGAACAGAATCTTCTGCTATTTCTAAATGATTTGCCAGGTAGTTCTGTTCATCTTTTTCAAGATGACAATGCTTCAGTTTACAGATTTGGTCCAGCTAGTTAATGGAAAGAGAAAAATTTAATCACTTCACTTCCATGGCAGAGCCCTGATCTAAATCCAATTGAGTATTTGTGAGATGCTTTGGAAAGACGAATTCGTAAACGTCCAAATCACCCCAAAAATTTATGGATGTACTTAAAGGAATTGAACCGAAAATTTTTAAGAGAAGAGTGCAAGCTGTAATTGATGCAAATGGAATCTAACCCGATATTAAATTATATGGATAAAAAGCCCTACTTTTACTGAATAAAATAATATATTTTTTATTGTAATTTATTTATAAAGAAGTCGAGTAATATATGTATAATTTTTAGTACATGTGCTTTTGTCTATCGAGTGTACATGTTGGCAAAAATCCAAAGTGATACATGTAATTAAAAAAAGAAAGTTGTTAAAATTATAAAAGTTGAAAAAATATAAATTTTATTTAGCTAATTCGCGTTTATTGCTAATTTCTTCATCAGAGTTAAAGTTGTCCTTTCCCAATAGATCTTCGAGATTTATAACGCTCACAAAAATCATAAGGATCCATTCAGGAGCAAAAGCGAACACATAAATGTACCATTCTTTTTTATTCACATCGGAGGTAGGCTCAAACACAGAAAGTGTTCGATAAATCATTCCACTAATCAACAATAGGCAGCCGATGACCAACACCAATATACTTTTCTTGGTGACTCTTTTCATTCCCTTATTTTCAATAGAATTGGAATACCTTTGTGCATAAATTAAAGTATTAAATAACAAAATTGCTAACAGTCCTAAAAATCCCAAAGCTGTAGCTTTTCTCAAATCTGTTCCCAAGTCGGCCTGTTCTTGTGAAGAAGCAGTGAATTGTTTAACCGATCCAACGATTCCAATAAGTGAGCATAATGGAATTAAGATCTTAATGAGACGTATTACGAGTTTTTCGCGGTTTGATACATTTTCTAGACCGATGATTCGATCAATCCATTCAGTAAATACTGTGTAAAGAGGTTGAATTGCCAGGAAATAGCCACCCGATGTGATTACTCCCGTAGCGATTGCTTTTGACTGAGAAGTATAGTCTTGTGACCACAATGCACGAGCAATAAATGCGGCAATTCGAAGAAAAGAGAAAACGAAAAATAAAAAATAAGCGTAACGACGGTGCTCTAAGGTCCTCCATCCCAAGGATATGGAACTAATTACAAAAAGGATTGCAAATACTATTGATGGCGCAAGTGTAGGTAAAACAACTGAAAAAGCCATAATTGATTGCGTTTTTTATTTTGTAAACTTAATGTTGAATTAAGAATTCAAAATCTTCTTTGGGAACTGCCATTTATATAGCGTTTTTTGGCAAACCGATACAGCGTGTCATGTTTGCTGTTTAATTAAAATTTAAGATTAGATAACTGGTGCGACATTTCACAAGGAACAACTGCAAAGATCTTCTGCCAAGACACCATGTATTATATTTTTGCAATTTGATACCCATATTCGTGGTGGCTGTGCTTTACATTAACATCTATTCGTACCATTTTGAGCATAACAAATGATAAGATTGTTTGCAGCTGTTATTTTAATTCTTCAGAATATCCTTATCCTTCTCCTTTTCCTTACATAGCTGTGTGAATAACATATGTTTTGTAACATTTACCACAATTCTAGACAATAGCTTCGGACGCTCGCTCCGTCGGCCGTATGATATGAATTTTATCGAAGGAAAATTTTTTTTCAATGAATGTATATTAGCAAAATTAAGTATTAGATTATAAACTTTCATTGAAATTTATATAACATCAAGGATAATTGATTTTGTCAAGTTTAAGATAAAGTCCTACAAAAAGTTCTGTACACACACTTCTTTATTTATAAAATTTAAAATATCGAATTTGGTTCAGCATGCAAGACAGCATAACTCACTGTCGTTGACAATTTTTTCGGCCGCATAGAAACACACGGAATAATAAGCGCGTCAATTTTATTTGTCAATCATCCTGTATTAGTACATGTACATGAAACATGTATTTATACCTAAGAGTCACAATAGATTCAAATATGACATATGTATAACATTAGATAATTTGCCAGTATCAGAGATGCTGGCCTAAGAAAAATGTAAATTTGGCCAAACTTTTTAATGCCGACTTTAATTTTGGCCAAAACTTAAGATAAAAAAAATTTTCAAAATTATAAATTTATAAGTTTTAAAAATCATTATTTTGGTTAAGAATTTTAGAATAATAGAAAGTATTATTCAATTTCAATTCTATTGGCTCAAAATTATTTATATTTATTTTTAGATTGTTTATACCAATAGTAATAATCTTAATCAGATCATTTACATTTTACAGATATGATCTGGTGCAAAAGATTCGTATCTCAGAATAATATTTTTATTACATATAAACTTTTTTATTTAAAACAAAAATATTTTCAATAGATATCAAATTTGTTATACTAGAAAAAAATTACAATTTGTTATTGCTCTCAAGATCATTATCATTATCAGTTTCACTATCCAATAAATTATATCATCATCTGACTCTTGATATTCTTTGGCTTTTGCAAGTGCTCTTTTTCAAAATCTAACTATTATCTTTGAGTTTATTTTTTCTTTAAAAGCATATAATAGCTTATTTCTAACATCTAAAAGATTTGAATATGAACCTGACTTTGCAATCTCATCCTTAACTACTATCCAAACTCTCTTAATTAGCTGAAATTCACAATAATAGAAAGGAGTAAAAAAATCCTATAACTATATTACTTGATTATTTTGATACAAGCAAATAAAATTTTTTCTTTATTCTTCTTAATAAGCTCTAAAAGTGCTGGTTAATGAAGTTTATTAGAAAAAAAATTTGATGAAAAACTAACTAGTCAATTATTTCTTTTTTTTTTATACTTGATACTGATATATTTTTGATATATTATTTATAATAGCATATCTCATTCATATTAATATTTACTGTATTATATTTTTTGCTAATTGTCTTACAGAGTTTGATGAAAAGACTCTCAAAAATCTCAGTATTAAAGTTTTCATAATAGTTCACTTGGTTAGAAATAATGTTAATATCTTAATAATATTAGAAATATTATTTTATTTTTCAACTTCATATTATTTTTATCCTTGAGTTTCAGATGGCTTAATCACTAGATTCCAAATGTGAATAGAATTTGAAACAAGCTTATCATATATTTTATTAAAATCACCATTTTGAAAAATAATAATTACTTCAAAGATTATTAATAATAAATCATATTCTGATACTGAAATAATATTTTGATAAGAAATTTATATATTTTATAATATATGATGTAAATAGCAATATGATTTATTAAGAAAAATTTTAGAAAAATATAAAATAATATTATTAACTTCTATATTGGTAAGTTAATAATGAAAATAATAATGATAAAAGATAATATTATTTAGTAACTCATAAAAAATATTTCTTTACTCTTCTTGATCATAATAATATTTCAAGCTCTTTAAAATTTGAAGAAGCTATTACTTAAAAATTATATA